TCAACAAGGTGCCATGTGCAGAGCAGATGACCCGTTTTAGCTGTGAACTATACGGTAAATTCCAGTCACGGCATATAATCACTTTGTGCCATAGTATGATCCACGTTGCGTGTCAAAGGATGATTACATCTGCACATCACAATGCACCAATCTGGTCTTTCCAACCTCAGCTATCAGAACATGCTCTGTGTGTGTGTGTGTGTGTGTTTCCCCTCTGGTCTGTCACTGGGCTGACAGCATCTCAGCATTAACCACACACACATGTTCAACACACAAAAGACATCCATGTGCTCATCTGTTCACTTGAGTTCTGAATGACAAACTTTTCACAGACTCTACCCTACAGCCGCAAACCGCTTTAGAACTGTATCATGTTTTCACTCTCCAACTGATGTGGCCTTTTCATCTTCACATCATCACAAAGTGCTACAGATGTAGAAGAGGAATGCAGATGATGTAAAAAACATTTTAAAAGACTAAGAGTAAACTACAGCCATGCAAGCAGCTCATGTTTGGTTCGTAGGGCTAAATGCTTAAGTCAGAACACTAACATACTCAGTGACAATGCTAGCATGCCGATCCAAACAATGTTTCCCATATGTTCATTTATTTGTGGCGATCCACCACAATATCAACGCCACAGATGGATATTGATTTATTATTTTTTTTTTTTAAACTAGGCTTATTTAAAATCATATATTTAATTGCAGAGTGCCGTAGCGCATTAGTGCAGCACATTCTCTCACCCGTCCTTCTCTCTCTCTCTTGCTCTCTATCCCTCTCACTCGTGAACACAGCTGCACAAATCTGTCCAACACAACGCTGTCAATGTTGGAGACCCAGCGTTATTAGCAAGCATGTAAGGAGCCTAGGAGCCTAGCTAATAAGGAGAGCTAAGTTAATGTTAGAAAACACCTGGGTTTTCGACACTAGCACGCTGTGTATAGCTGGTAGTTAATGTTGACTGCACGCATGCACCCCCCCGCCACAGTTACACTGTCATTCTGTGGGAAACACTGCAAAGTAGATTTAATTTATCATCTTAGTAAAGTGTGTGTTAGCATGCTAACATTTGCTAATTGGCACCAAACACTAAGTACATGTGAGACTGATGGGAATGGCATTACTTCTGCAAGTATTCTGTCATAAACCAATCTATTGGACAAAGTAATATTTTGACCCAATGACGGTGCTAGATGAAAGCTCAGGGGATCACCAAAGGGATGACCTAGTTATTAGAATTCAATGGCAATCCATCCAGTAGTTGTTGAGACATTTCTCTAAAATGTAAACTTGTTGGTGGTGCTAGAGAAAAAAATAAAATAAAAATCAGGGGATCATGAAAGTCAGTAGGCTTTCTCTTCTAGTGGCCATGAATATCTGTACAAAAGTTAACACCAATCCATCAATTGTTGAGATATTTCAGTCTGGACCAAGGTGGTCACCTACACTACTAGCATGGATAACTAACCGTTTTAAAAAATAGTTTAATTTAAATAAATTTTAATTAAAAAAGAATAAATAAATTGAACATGGTAGAGGAGACATTTTGTAGACTTTGCTCAAAGAAAAAGGACAAAGTAAACTTGACGGTGCTGTAGCGGAAACCCACAGCTGCTCTGTCCATCCCTTACATTCAAACACATCCACCATCTGCCGGCTTAGCCAATAATGTGTCAGAAGATGTGCATAAATTACCATAGGAGTCTGGCAGTGCATCCCTTCTGAGCAGAACCGCTGTTCTGATCGCAAGCGGTTGGGCCCATTTATCAGCTATACCAAGCATGTGAGGTCAGTTTAGTCATTCCTTCAATTTTATTAAAGTTGCTCATAAATGGAGTGAAGAAAGCCAGGACAGGCTGCCTAAGCAGCTGCCTTTCTTTTTGCATCTCCAAAATGCCTTTTCTATGACCCTAAACAGCCGTGCTACAACTAGAAGATTTGTCAAAGCCAAAGTTTAAAAAACTCAATATCTTTAAATTATAACCCTGGATGAAAATAGGAGCAATAACAAAAGAGTGAGTGCTGCTCTCATAAGGGGAATATTACATATCGGCAATGTTTGAGGGCTTTCTTGGAAATGCCTCCGAGGGATCGGCTCATGCTTGTAATTGAGGACAAGCAATGCCGATGCCAACCCCTCCTTTAAGGAAAAACAGGACCTCATGAACTCTGGTTTGGGTGTTGGTCTGTGGAGAGGAATTGCAAGGAACGAGGAGGATTTCACATTCCACAACCAGAGAAATATCTCATCTTACTGAGACCCTTCCTTACAAAATAGTCTTTAAGGTCAATGCAGAAAAATCAAGCAGATTGACATATTAAAATTGATACCCTTGTGCAGCTAACTACTGGGGCCCACAGCTGATAATCAATTTGAAAGTACCTAGGGTGAAGAGTGGCAAGTCCAATTTCCTAAGGTTTAAGGTGAACGTGCTCTCTCCGTAGTTGGTGGGGTGTTGACTAGGAATGTTTGGTCATTTCATATTTTTTTGTAATTACCTGTGTAATTTCTCGGATTCTTTCCTATAAGAGTTTGTAGTGTCACTGTGCTAATCTGCTGTGGCAGAAAGGTTTAGACAGGATTTAAACAGCATCTTTTCCTTTTCAGTACGAACAAAATATCCTATTGAAGTAAAAGACCTACTTACAACAAACAGCTGAATTGTAGAAATGTGGTTCACCTGCCAAAAGTTGCTGAAATAAACACAAAATTATAAGCAATGCAATCGGTTTGGCCCTTGCTCATTTCATTTGTAAATTGATGGTTTGTGAGGTCTGCTATCTACTCACTCAAGGCGTTCTGTTTCTTGTATTCTAACCGAGCACAATGGGATGTTTTTGACAGCCGGGTCTACAGAGCTAACTTCCTGAATTTTGATGTTCCATTTCAGACAAAAAATAATAATAAGAAATTGGCTTGGTTTCTGGGGTGGGAATTTATATCTAATGTTTAGATTAAATTTGTGTTGCATTATTTCTACCCCATGAAATAAGCTGGACACTTAAATGCCAGTTTATTGGATACATCTAGCTAAAACTAATACAGCCTAATACAAGAGCCCTGTATAAATCCAACATTTATACAACTGAGGCTAGACTAAATATTAGAAACGTCCACTAAGTATAATGCAATAAAATTCAACAGCACCACAAACTACAGCCTGCAAAAGTTGCATCTACAGCTCTTTAAAACAGTTTCGAAAAAACATTATAACCAACAACAGCATTACCATAAATAGCAGCTAAATGCATTCAACATCAAGTAATGCCTATTACAAACCAAAAACAGGTCAAAGTAAAATGTTATATCAACCACAGTGATCTCTGTGAAACAGGTAGCCACTGTTGTAATCAATCAATTAAGAGATTAAAAAGAATGCCAACAAGGGCAGAATACAGGCCTTACATCATTAACTTACATAACTGGAGTAAGTCAGTCACTCTATATATCAAGGCTGTACTTTCTGACAGGAGGAATTCATACAGACCACAACAAAGTTGATTTGGCATATTTACTTTAGACCTACTCTCTACTTTTGACTACATTGTTGGCTTAACAAACTGATATACAAAGTACTTTGCAATAAAAACAAATATGTCAAAGTGACACTCGATCAAGTGATGTGTTGATGAGAAGAGTATCTATGTTTATAATGATTAGAGACTGTTCTCCCTCTATACACTGTTTTAGAACAGAGCGGCTGAATCTGGAGCTTACAGAAACTTTCAATAACCATGGAGACATTGTTTGCACATTTATAAACTGTGTTACTCATTTCTGAATGGTTAAATTAAGTGAGCTCTTCTTTCAGCGTAAGGAACTCTCTAGCAATTAATGTGGTCTGTCTTTTCTGCGGCACAAATGTTCGGTGTGAAAATGCTTGAGAACATAATTGTCCAAAAAGTGAGTTGGAACTGTTTTGCAAATTCTTGTGTGATGACAACATGACACAGGGGAAATACTTCTCTTTTAATTGGGGACTAGATGGGTTGGCTTGACAGAAAGAAATATCACCAGAGGTATATTTCCCCAGTGAAAGCTGGAACTAGGAGTCATAGTGCTAATTAAATGCTACCCGAGGGGAACATGCGTCACACACATACCTATATGTTTGTTCTCTCCTGCAGCACTAGTAGCACCATCCAGCAAGCTAAAATATAATTTGTTTTTCCATTAGGATTTTTGTCATTCTTGTTGTGACAGACAAGACCAGCAGTGAGAATAATGAGAGTATAATCTGTCATCCCTCTCTGCTCCACTGAGCACATAGATTTGTCTTAATACCATAGAGAATACAGAGATGGGAAGAAATTAATGATGGCAAGAGAAAGGTAAAACTTGCAGTTACAAAACAATTTGCAATTCGTACCTAAAAGCAAGCATGTAGGGTGAGGAACAAAATGACAGACAGAAAGAGAAAGAGAGAGAAGCAGTGTGAGGATGAGCGAGAGAGAGAAAGAGAGACATATGGATGCAATTGAGAGCCGATGAACTGATGTCATCTCGCAGTCAGGTTATCAGGCCCCAGGCAAAACAGTTACAACTCACAAAACATGTCTCTTTTCTTAAAACATATGAGATCAGCGCGCGCGCGCGCACACACACACACACACACACACACACATCATATAACACAGTATGCATACTTCTAGCTTACCTACAGTTCTTTGGAGATGCCAAGTAAGGCATAGCACGTATGTAGCATGGTTAACATGTCTGCTAAGGCTAATCCTGCAAGTGTTAGCCTTTCTAATTTGAATTTTGATTGGAGATCTAGTTCTCTTTGCGCGCGCACACACACTCGCACACACTCTGTCCTTCCCATTAGCCTCTTTGGCATGGTTACACAATGACCTCATCTGGAATGGGCTCAACTCCAGTAAAAGCACACACACACACACACACACACACACACACGCACGCAGCAGTAGAGCCTGTACTGTCCCATATAAGGACTTGCTGATGATGTAATGGGCGCCACTGACTGCGAGTGAGACTCAGTGAGCAGAGCACTTCTCATAATGTTTGGTTTTCCGGATGGAATGTCCACATCACTGGGATCTCTGGGAAAGGGATAGGTGAAAGAGTAGAGACCATTTATCCTCTGAGGATTTTAGAAGGACAGAGGCCAACAGCACAGCACAGGTAGGAACCGTCAAAAGACTTGCGGAAAGATATAGTGTGCATTTAGAAACGTGTGTCACTTAAAAACTTGCCTTTTCACTGCAAGATAAGTTATGGGCAAAGTGAATATTGGCCAGTTCCACACAAATTCGATAGAAAGAACATCTTATAATGCCGAGCTGATCTCAAATTACAAAAGTGCATTTCAAAAAAGGTTTATTTTTAAAGACAGTAAATTCAGTCTCACTGAAGCTTTAACACTTAAAACCTACTTTGTTTTTTTGTTTTCTTTTTCCAATTTGTTGCTTTAAAAACATTACTTACAAGACAATAAACAATATATTAGGTAGTGTACCTATTACTCTAGGTATTAGAGTAATATACCATCACCTACACATATTATAGCTTTAGATCAGATGTATGTTAACAGAAAAAGTACAGATGTTCTAAATGTTCAATTTCTAGATCTGTTCTCTTGAACTCTAGCAACTCTCCGTTTTCACGTGCTACTTATTAAATGTACTGGGGGGGGGGGCATTGAGAACATTTTCAACATGGACATATCTATATAAAGTGAAATGACAAACATGGTATGTAGACTTTAAACATCATTGCAAGTACACCTAGATGTCAGCACTCTGGACAAATGCAGTAAGCAACACTAGTAACAGTCAACACTGTTGATTCTAAATAGGTAAAACAGACTGGTGAAAGATCACTTTTAAAGTGTGCCTCACTTGCAATAACACATGACAAAAATTCACAGTGTGTATTAAATTCATTACTACATTGCTGGTATGCATCTGGGGGAATGTGAGGAGTGACAGCAGTTGGTAAATGTAGCCAGTCTGTAATTACATGTGGAACAGGGGGGGAATTTCTGCCTCTCCTAGCTGGAAATGGGGTAGCGTTCGAGGTGCACAGAAGGAGGGTGATTGGGTGCAGCGTTGAGGGTACTCAAGGGTAGAGGAACTTCTTAATTAACAAACACTCCCTGCCAAGGGACCATCTGCCGTAATAGTCAAAATAGCCCACAGAGTGCATGCTGCCTGGAGAGAAGTGCAAAACAAGTTACATGGACATATTTAAATAGGGTTTACAGGTAGGCACACACATAAATGAGACACAGATATACTGGTATGTACAAAAGAGAAAAGGAAGGTATTACTAGCTTCTGTAGTTTGAGAATGGAGGAAATTGTGATTCAATTTCTTCTGAAAATTTAAAAGTAAATGTTTATGCTGGTAATACACAATATAGTACATAATTTTTGTTTAAAAGTTGTGGCCAAGAGGTTAAGTATAAACACTACAAAGTGTTCTTGGAGGGTGAAATAAGACTCAGTTACACAGCATTCTGTTTGACGTCATCGTCATTTGTTTTTTGCAGACTCAAACTCCTGATTGTAAAGGAAAGAGAATACCAGGAAATAAAGGAGAAAAATAGTGAAAGAGAAGCCTCAACGTTAAAGGACGAGCTCACCAAGCTGAAGGCTTTTGCACTGCTGGTCGTGAAGGAGCAACACTGTCTGAGCAAACTGCTGGAGGAACAGAGGCGTCGTGTCAAAGAACTGACCGCCATCACTGACCACATCAAGCAGGAGGTCAGTGTTTCTTACCCCAGTAAGGCAGAGCTGAAATCCCTGCATCTGGAGGTGGAGCACCGTAGCCAAGTTTCCATTTTCAACCAAAGCCAGAGCACGATGACAGCCCCAAGTCTGCTGTCAGAGGTTGAGATACTGAGGAGAAGGGTCGTGGAAATGGAGGGAAAGGACGAGGAGCTGATACGCATGTGGGACCAGTGTCGAGAACTGGACCGCAGACTAGCGAGGGAGTGTAGCCACTGCCGTAGCTTAAAAATTGAGGTGGATAAACTCAATGGTAGAATCAGTGAATTGGACAGGCTAGAGGAGGCTTTAGGTAAGAGTAAACAGGATTGCAGTAATCTGAAGGGCAGCTTGGAACAAGAGAGAGAGGTTAGCAGGATGCTTTCTGATGAGCTCCACACATTGAAAGGTAGGGTGAGAGAGCTAGAGGCTGTTGAAGGCCAACTGGAAAAGAGTGAAGGAGTGATTAAACAGGACTTGGCCAAGCTCAGGTCCCTGACTGTAGCTCTGGTGGAGGACAGAAAGACCACAGCGGAGAGGCTGCGACAGGCTGAGGAAAAACTCAACAGGAAGGAGGGCAAAAGAAATGAGCAGAGCAATTTGGCAACAATGACAGAAAGACTGAGAGAGGAGAGGCAGCAGGCACTGAGGTCTAAGGCAGATTTAGAGGAACGGATTAAGGGTATAGAAAAGCAAAAAGATGAGCTCCAAGGCAGACTTAAAACAGAAGAGGAGAGGAACAGAGAGCTACAGAGTAAAGTAACCATAATGAAGAAGATGTTACAGGTCTCGGAAAACATGAAAGAAAGACACAGCTCTATTCCAAACAACACTAACCATTGCTGCCAAACAGAGGACAACAAAGTCAAAGAACTGACCCAGGAGCTAGATAGGTTGCGAAAGAGACTAGGGGACAAGGAGGTGTTGGAGGAAGAACTGATGAAGGTGGAAGAGGACTTTGAGTCCCTACAAAAGAGGTTCAGGGAGGAACGAAAGAGGTCCCTGGCTCTAACAGAGGAGCTGGAAATGGCAAAGAGGGAGCTTTCCAGGTATGAGCATGCAGAAAAGCAGGAGGTCAACCAGGAACACCTTCTCCTTTGCCGTCTTCAGAAAGAGCAGGTTAAGTCCAGACTATTAGGCAGAGAGGTGGATAGCTTGAAAGAGAAACTCCAGAAGCTGATGGGAACCGAGGAGTCCATCAGCAGAGTTCAGACAGATCACTCCACGCTGCAGAGAAAACTGACCCAGCAGGAAGCCAGGAACAGAGAGCTGGCCGAAGAGATGAAGGAACTGTGTAGTGAGCTTGACAGGTATAGAAAAATCAAGAATCTTACACCTGGTGCAAACAGACAACAGTTTTCAGACCCTCATCAGACAACCAAAGAGGTTCAAACTGAGCCAGCAGACAGCTTGCCTCCTGACTACAGTGAGCACAGCAAGAAACTAGCTGAAGAAAATGAGGACCCAAACCACAATGCAGAAGTCATAAACAGAAGAAGCTCCCTAGTCAACAACCTTAACAGCCTGAACAGTGCGAATAACAACATAACCCAGTATAGCAGTCATTCACCCAATGGCATAGATATGCACCAAACAGTTAATGGAGAGGTGATGATGTTAACACACACACCCGGGCAGCCCTTGCACATCAAAGTAACGCCACATCATGTACTCAACACAGCCACACTTGAAATTAGCAGCCCCACGGGAGACACTGCTACATCCTACACCAGCACAGCTGTCATTCCAACAAGCGGCGCCTCACCTAAGCAGAGAATAACCATCATCCAGAACTCAGCTCTGTCTGCAGTTAATACCAAAACCCCACCTTCAAGCCCTGAACGCACAGTCTCCCCACTTAACGGAATACCCATCTCTCGGGTGTTAAGTCCAAATTCATCACGCTCTGTGACGCCTGACCACAACAACTCCCCCATTCAGATCCTAACAGTCAGGACCTGTTCTCCAGAGGCCACAGAGGTTGCAAATCCGACTGTCTTCTGCAAGACTCTGGAGCGGCGGAGCAGCTGGCAAGATCAGAAGTCCAACAGCACTGACACGAATCCCAGTATCATCACCACAGAGGACAGCAAGATCCATATCCACCTGGGGAACCCATATATCCAGCCTCTGAGCAGTATGACCCACAGCATCCAGCAGCCTGTTGGGCCATATTATCTCCGACATGAGCAACGGACTCAAGTGCTCGCCAATGGCTGTCATGTCAAAGGTGTTGGCAAGATTACAAGTAGCATCACTATATCCCCCACTACCTCTGCAGCTTCACATTCCTCAAATATTACAGTAAGTGGCCTTTCTGATTAGGTGAAAATGTATATATTCTGAACAAACAGTATTATGTTCTTAGTCACTTTCCCAGACTAGACAACCCAAACAATGCACTTCTTCTAATGAGACCCCAGAGTGTGTTGTATCTTTTAACAATCATCAAATAAATGATTTGTGGTATTAGTCCTACAGCCTTTGTAAAGCCTACTTGATGTATGACCCCACACTTCCTGACTTTAACAACCCTCTCTTGACTGTATGGCAAGTGTGTCTAATGCATGTATCAGAGCTAAATGAGAAATCATCTCAAACAAATGTGTGATGTGCCTTTTCCAATTTTCTGTCTCTGTCTCATGTTCTTTCTGTTCATTAAACGTGGTGTGTTGTATTTATTTATGCACAGTTGGAATTAGAAAAGACAGAAAATGGTAGAACCCTGGTGTGATGTGTTTGCCCCTGCAGGGCCAACTCCACACTGCACACATCAAACTCTTCCAAAAAAGTATTGGTGAACTTGTATCTGTTAATTAGCCACATTCTTAAAATGACGTGAAGAGAGAAAACTAAGAATTACTGGGATTGAAAATGTTTATCTCTGCTGAGTTTGATTCAAAAGTCACCGACTATCTATAGGAAAGTGTGTGTGTGTGTTTGTGTGTGTGTGAGAGAGAGAGAGAGAAAGTGTGAAACCTAGTTCAAATATGCTGGAAAACTCTGCTCATGTTTTTCTGACACAATAAAACACCTAGTGGGGGGTGCGGCTGTTCAGGTTTTACGTTGGATGAACTAGAAAAAGTCTCTTCTATTTTTAGTAAAAAATTATAAACTTAAATTGTAAGTACTTTAACAAAGTTTGAAATTGACATCTGATATACGATTAAATCCCTTTCCAACTTTTAAAACACAATTACTGTGCTTTTCCTCAGTGATTTATTCATTTGTTTTATTTGCCACTTATGCTGCCACAGCAGGCTAAGCATTGAGCACATATGTCCTGCCGACTAAACCTCCAAATGCATAGATTCAAAGTTTCTGTCAGCATCATTTTACAAAAAGTCATAAATGGTTGTGCTGATTTGCTAACTTTGTGAAGATTTCCTGTATTCTTTCTCAGACTGTCCTGTTTGTAAAATGCATATGAAAACATAAAAGGACCAGACTCAAAACTTGTCAGTGGTCAGAGTGTCACTTAAATGATTATCCATTACAAAACACACAATAAAATAAAACATTTTCTTTTAACGCCTGTGTTGCTGAAAAATAGCTGTTTAACCTTCAACTGCTCTGTAAGGCATGTGGGGAAAATACCTTTCCAGAAAATTAAAAAGGTAAGAACGATACAGTTGCTAAATATAATGGAAATTAGAAATATGTAACAAATCTTTATTTTAACAAGAATATGAGTGTCCATCACTGCAGGCCCACTAATGAGAAGAAGTATAGAAGATTTATTTTGGACACATTCAGTAATATTTTCTTACTGTATCCAACTTCCAAACTAGCCCTCACACATGAGGTAAAAGGGATGAGTTTCCCAAGATGGGGGAGCCTTCTGAAAAAAAGTTAAACAACAGGAACCAAATTATTAATAACCGAAAATAATTTATGCTACACTCTTTTAATATTGACTTAAATCCTCTGGTGTCTGTGTTTTTATTTGATATAAATATGCCTTATAAATAAACTGACTTGATTATCTGTATTTAGGTCAGCCAATTCCTTTCAATACATTTGAGACTAGTATATAAACCCTAAAACCTTCATCACAGCATTCAAGTCAACACAACAAGCAACACATCACATTTCTAGAAAACTAAAAATATATGGTAACATATTGTGGAGAACCAGATGAGGCATCTGATGACAGTTTGGAGCAGACTGTAGCGTGACAGAGGCCTCATGAGAATCTTTGTCATTAGTGTGAGCGTTTAGTCACAGGACACGTCACCATTAAAGTCATACTGCTTCTCACAAATCTCCTCTTTAGTCTTAAGACTTCAAAGTAAGTACCATGCTCCATCTATCAGACTTCAACTCTCCTTTTCTGTCTTGTCAATTTTCAGTCAGCCTCACAGCCTTTTTTGTCAAGCATCTCAGTGATACAAATGCAAGCGAGGATGGGATGTCAATCAGTGTAAAGGAGAAAAACAAGGAGTTGCGCACATTTTCTTCTGCGTGGTGAAACATGTGGGTATGGATGCTTTTATATGATTAAACGGGCCAAACCCCAAGAAATAAGTTACATTTAGAAAAAACATTCACTGGGTGGAAATGCTTGTGATCACAGCTCACTACACCATTGTGAAGCTAAAGCACCTGCACCAGGCTGGTGGTAAAAGTCATATGCTCTAATTTCAAAAGTGCAAAACCTCGACTTCTTTACACAAACAACAAATTCCTCAGAAAAAAGTAAATAAATCTGCAGGGGTGAACATCTAAGAGACAGTTATGCCTCTTTTCTCTTATGAGATTCCTCTGGGGACACTGAAGAAGCCTGGTCCAACAAGGATTCCCAGGACCAAAGGATTAACTAATAGAAGAAGCAACAGATCTCTCAATGCAGGACAGAAAAATGGAAAACTCCCTCACTACATACATATACTGAAAACCCTGACCTGAAAATGCCCAACAGGCCTGCGTCTGCAACATATTACAAATGTGCAAAGTATATTGAAGAATTATCATTCTAATGCAGATGTCAAGGAGTGTCATTAGTATCATAGTGCAACAAAAATATGAATAATAATAATAACTGATCAGTCATTCATCATTTGTTATGCAGAGGTCAAAACAATTGATTCAGAAATGTAACAACTGTAGTAAAAGTACATAATGATTCCACAACATTAAATGACATGCGTTACAAATAAGTTGGCCTACTGTATTAAAAGAAAGTGATGCTACACCTCAATAATAAATCTGTCACTTTTAATGCAGCTGCTCACCCATAAAGAGAACCTGCTCTTAATATGGGGACTTGTCATCCACAGTACAAATAATATTTTATCTTAATATCATTAAAACTGAGAAGTTGTAACTGAGAAAATGTGCAGAGGCTTTGATATCATTATATGTAAGGCTAAACAATTTCTGTTAATCATATTCTATTTACCAGAAAGTTTGAATTTGTATTAACATGCACAAGTACTAAGCTTAGCATGTACTGTTAGTGCACGGGGGTTGTGTATGTAAATAACCTTAGAGATAGACAGGATAACATAAAATGTCTGTTGTACTGGATAAACTAAATATAAATGTTTCATTTTAATACCTCCTGAAAATACACTTTATCTTACTGTGCTCGGCAACGCAGCAACACTTTTACCGTTAGATGTCCAATGCAATCAGATCGTTAATACTTAAAGTCCATGACTGCCCTCTATTGGTATGCAGTGTGCAAAAAGCTATGCAAGGAATTGCCGTGGTGCACTTCCTCTGTTGATGTGTGGGGGTGACGATGGTGGGCACAGCAGAATGAGTGCAGAAAGTTGTGCGTATTAGAGAGCTAACCGAGGTTCATGGGAAGGTAACGTTACAGGGCATGGTAGATAACGTTAGAGCAAATAAAAAATAAAGGTTACCGTAATTATTTTCTGTGTTGACCCACACACACGTGTTTACACACCTTAAACAACTCATGCTACCAACGCTTACTTTCCCTGACCTAACAAATCAGAGATAAGCTATACAATACCCCACAGGTACTTGCTGTTTTACACTTCTCGCTATGGCGACTGGCGTTGACAGTTCATAGGATTTAGCTGAAGTTAATTACAGCAACAAACTGGCCGTTGCTGGCTAGCTAACGTTAAGTTAGCTTACAGTTAGCTATGACCAGCCGGCATGTTTTGTGACAGCCACAATCTCACGTTAAGAGTTCGCTTATCAGGATACACCTTAAACCAAGAGCCTCACAAACACCGAAAGACATTAGAGTTAAGCAAGATAAGTTACCTGAATTACCCTCGTGCGTCCACCACTCGTCACCCAAGTCGTCTCCCATTTTCCTCAACTGTATAGTCTGTCCAATCCAAATCTACCGCTGAGAGCATGCGAGGGGTTTGTTCAAAAGCAGCACGTTTAAAACATACGGTGTAGGGCTTCAAACAACACCATGTAGACGAAACCGAAAGACTCTGCTCTCCCCACATCATAATGTAAACACTAGTTATGGTAGATGTGTGTGGCTTAACTTGGGCCATGGAAAACTTTTACTGTATATTGTTTGGCCTGAGGAGCGCGCATTGAAATGTCCAGTGGTGGAAGAACTACTCAGGACATTTAACGTTACATAAGTAAAAGTAGCAATACGACAGAGCAAAAATACTTAAGTAAAGCTCAAAGTGAGTGTACAACAGTATTAGCATAGCACTACTGCGTTTTCGTTTGAAAACGGAGACCTTTTGCAACGTTTGCACCTCCCGTCCAGACTAAAACGAAAAGGTAACAAACGGTTTGAACCGCTTTGAGTGTTTCTGTCACTTGTTTGTGAGAAGGCGATTAAGCTTGCCGCACCTAAATTTGGAGTGCACATGTATTCATTCCTTTATGGTAAATCCACTGAAACGGACCAGAGCGAGTTGGCAGGCAGGTTAGCCACTTTATCCTGTCATTTTCTTTCTTTACAAAGACAGAAGTGTTGCATTATGAGAGTCCTACCTGAAGAGAGGCTGTGAAGTCTTCATGTTACGTGATACGAGAACCACATATAACATAATTTATCAAATTGGGTCGGAGTCGGTCGAACATGATGAATTTATACAGTCTATGATTTAGTGCGAGGATAGGCATGTGACAACATCCGATTTTCAAAATAACGTCTCTACAGAATGGAAATAAGATTAATTGGATTATATTCACAGCAAGTATAAAACATATTACATGTGCACATTAAAATTAAATGGACACATGTAATTTACCTTACCTTACCCTCTTGGGCCTCGGACCCACCCACCATAGTCTCTCCAAGTCCTGTGTGAAACACTGAGTAAAAAGCACATTTTGACTACTTAATTTATGCAATGGTAAAAAAAAAAAAAGGCAACAATGGGAATGTACTTTTTCATTGTTTGGTATTCGCCAAATTCTTTCATTTTATTCGGCTTTGGCTTCAGCCAAGAATTTTCATTTCAGTGCATCCCTAAATTATAATATTGGTGCATCATTGTGTAAACATTGATTTAATATTGCAGCTGGTAAATGTGGGAACAATTTTATATATATATCACTTTATATAATGCTCGGTAGCATGTGAATTTCCTCCTGGGGATCTCTAAAGTCAAAAGTTGATATGCCTAATAATATCATAATGTATTTTTTTATTATGGTTTGTATTATTAATCTGAATCTGCAAAGTAACTAGTAACTAAAGTGGTAAAATAAATGCAACTGAGTAAAAAGTATAATATTTGCTTTTGAAATGTAGTGGAGTAGAAGTTAGCAGAAAATGTAAATACTCAGGTAAAGTACAAGTTCTTCAGATTTGTACTTAAGTACAGTATAGGCTACTTGAGTAACTCTCACCTTCCACCACTTGTAATACATTCAATAGAGTGCCTCATGAGTACAAATTCTTCTCTTTTTAACTCTCACTGTTTTTCATGTTTTAAATCTTACTAATTTTTTTTTTTACATTTGAGACTTTTACAGTAATGACATTAAAGTCATTACTAAAAGTAAATTTAATAAAGAGATCTTAGACTTTATTACTAAAGTAATAAAGTCTAAGATCTCTTTCAAATAATTACCAGCTAAACTTTAATAAACATTTGACCAATAAAAATGAAACAAAACTCTTCAACTAAAACCAGAATATGGCTCTGACTCACACACATACAGTGCTACTAAAGCTGCACTTCTCTGTTTGTCTTCATCATGAGATGAACAAGCAAGATAACTCCAAATTGGGCTTGTAGGGTCCACGTTGTGTCATGGTTGTTTGGATAAAATTCAACTCATTTTAATAGCAAACAGAAAACTGTGTGCATAGGCAACATTCTTTCTAAATACGCTGTAACAAAACATGTCCAAAACACTTTTACTGTTAACCAGTTTTTCGACTGGTTAATAAAGATAATCTGTGTCTGATCTGTACAGGTACAGCCACATAACTGCAAAAAGTCAAAAGATTTACAGAGGCTTTGGCTCACAAATCAACAATAGCTCACACACAAAAAGCAAAAGATAAACATATAGTCACAGTAAAATAACCAACAAATAGGCAAACAATGACAGTGCTGCCTCTCAGGCACTGAGAAACTATAAATTCAGTGCCTGCCTCTATATAAGTCTGTCTTCTGCTCTATGTGTGATTTTGTTTTAGCCAAGACTGCAAGCAAGGATCTCTCCATCTTCTTTGTTGTTTTACTGCCCCACTGTGTTTCCCCACTGTATATTTGATGTTGAAAGTAATGAGGACATGTTTTAAAGACCATTTTGATGCAGTATCATCAAATTGGACACATTCTATGATTTTCCTTTTTTGCTAATACAGTTTCCTTGAAATGATTGACTTGTTCCATGTTATGTTATAGTTACTGTAGGTAGTAACAGTTATATAGTGAATCAGTAGTCTTAAACAAGACTAGGTTAGGTTGAGGTAATCATTTTAGTTTTGCATGTATATAACCTCTGATCTCCACCACTTAATAATGGCACATCCTTTTGCTTCAGTTACTTTTGTTCTCTCTGACACCTAATTAGATGCCAAATAAAGGATCTCTGTAAGTTATATTTAGGGCATAAACCTCACATTTTAACCTTTTTACAAATGACATATGCAATTAAATCTGCAAGCAGCGATTAAAGGGCCCTTGCACCCTCATGCACTTCAGGGTGCTCTGAATTGTCATGTGTTTTAGACATTGCATAAAGGAGGTCAACTGTGTCCTCTATGTGGCGCCCTATGTGTATTATTATGTATATCATGTTCCAGTACATCAAGCTACACAATCTAGCATCGTCACAGTCTGAAGGCTTTTCTGACCAAATTTGAAGTCGGTGTATTTACATCACAGCAAAAAAATGTCATTACCTGTTGCCAGTAGGTGGCACTATGACTATGACTGAATATTGGCATATAGTCGTCTTCCTGTTGGTTTTAGAATACAGCTCCAAGCCTTCGCTTCAAGTGGCTTTTTTGTGTGTCTTGGGATGATACATGTGCCACAAAATTTTCGTACATCTAGGTATAATGTCCCGCGACCCTGTACGCAGGATAGGCGGTTGACGATGGATGGATGGATGGATAGGTATGATGTAGGGCAGGGGCTGCTTCATTGAAGGCTCACTTATTGTTGCCAGTAGCAAGCAGTAGTAACTTCATGTTCACTTCAACGCCACTCCACACACACAGTCTTTAATGAAAACTTACAAGCTTCACAATATAGCACTATCAATATCCGAGGCAGTTTTGAAGTGGATCTGATCAACCTTCTAGGAGTAGTACATCACAGCATAAAACTTTTCATTTCCTGTTGCTAGTGGGTGGCACTAAGACTATGACTGAATATTGGAATGTAAATGGCTTCTTGGCGGGACTCAAGTGTGTAAAGTTTTGTACAGATTTGACCATGAACACTTAAGTTACAACTACTCCCTTTTTCGTGGCGAAATATAGATTTTTTCTTCAGCGATAATTCACATTTAGCCCAATTTTTAATTGTGAATGTCTTCAAATTGCACTGCGAAATTTTTAAGTCCACCCAATTAATTCTGTATGAGGATTTTGTTAAAGTACAGAGATTGTAAATTGCAAAAAATTACCATTAAATTAAAAATGGCCGACTTCCTGTTGGATTAAGAGAATCACTCCAAGAGGCTTTTTTGTACGTCTGGACATGATACATCTGCCACAAATTTTTTCGTACATGTAGGTGTAACGTGCTGTGTGGGCTGCTCTGTAGGGGGCACTAGCAAGCTATTTCGCCACGACCATGTGTGAGTTTTTGGGAACCTTTAGGCTGTCAAAAATGCCATTCATACAGGAGAAGATTGCATTTCAATAGGGTTCGCTGCACATTACATGCTCGGCTCTAATTGTCAGATAAAACCTCATTATTTATCATTAGGTGATGTTTCTATAGAAGAACAAAGCGTTTCTACATAGTGTACATTACAAAACACGTCTTTACATCCTCTGTCATTACGGTAACATACAGAATAAAGGAAGGAGGAGGACATGTTTGGAATAGTGCCCTCTTTTCTGCAGCTGTAGCGGAGAGGAGGGACAGGTCCTCTGGGAGTAATTGCATGCTTTTTTGTGTTTCAGAATAACACATTTCTGGCTGGTACAGGCTATGAGATGTTTGATTAAAGCTTTGCCACAAAAAAAGAACAGACTGATTACTGGGGAAATTATAAAGAGTTCAGAATGGTTATGCTGTGTAACCCTCAAAAATGGGGAAGAAAAACAAATCAAGAAAGAGAAAGGAAGGATGCAGTCAACACATTGTGCTGAGGTCTGCCAACATCCAGGCAGGACAATGGGCTCTAAATGGCAGCTTTGTATGTAATTAAGCATAATTCCTGTAAAACACCGGCCTCTTCCTCATTTGTCATTCCCTCTGTTCATCTTTTGGCTGCATTTTCACTAGGAACAATATGCTGTACAAAAGCATAATTCTTTTCTCTAGACCCCAGGGGAACTTGTGAAACTTTAAAATCTGCTTTTCCTGTGTTAATCAGCCAGCCTGTATGTTGTGTACTTTAATAGGCTAAACTGCACACAAGGGTTCACTAAAGAAGACGTCATTAAAGATAAGATGGAAATGGATGGATGGAAATTTTGCATTTGCTGATGGGAAATGAAATATAGGAAATATACCTTTTTTAAATAAGTTATTAAAATTTTGCTTGATGCCACTCGATTCACGTGCCTGTTAAATATGAAGCTATACTCAGCAGCTAGTTTGCCTGATGACAGGAAATCACTGCGCTCGGCCAAGAAAACGTCGCTCCCTTAATCCCCCTTAACAACTGGTTGTTTAACACTTTTTGTGTACAGATTAAAATGTGTAAATTAATGCGATTTCGAGTCTCCCCTAGGTGGATAATACCTGTCTGTAGCTTCAAATGTAATGGAAAGCTCT